AACAAAAGGAAACAATTCCAAGTCCAAAAGTCTAGTTGTTGTAAATAAAGGAAGCAGTTCTTCAAAAAAACAAAACTGAGAGAGTGGTTATATACTTGACCTAGCACAAGCATAGTTGGAGTTCTTCTTATACTTCTTCTTTTCACTGTCAATACCTTTCTACTAAACTAACTTAAAGTTACCTCACCAAAGTCAGACAGCCAAAAGGCTCAGTGCAACCTTAAAACTGACTTGTTGCAGTTCTTGCTACTGGCTTATCGTAGCCTCATGATTTATTCCTCGTGTAGTCAGTAACTTTAAGTAGTTTTACTAGGTAGTAGTACAAGAAAAAAAATTTTTTGTTATCTTGTTGTTTTGGTTTTGATGATCATTAGAAAGAGTTGATTATAAAAAGTTTTGAATTTATTAGTAGATTTGTAAGTATGAATTTTGTATTATAATATATTATATTAACCTATATACATATATTAACTTAAAAATAAAATAAAATATATATTATAAGAGCTTCTAAATTTATTATAGCTCATAATATATATTTTATTTTAGTATATATATATAAATTAATATAATAAATTATAATACAAAATTCAAATCTACAAATCTATTAATAAAATTATTTTGAAAAGATCTTATATTTTAGATATATTGTTTTTATTACAATTGTGATATAATTTTTATAGCTTATTTAAGTATATTAATTAATAAATATTATTTCTATTTGCAAAATTAAATAAGTATTATCCAATATCTCATATATTCTCCTTGTAGATTATTTGGTTACAAATTTAAGCTAAAGGTTTTCTTATAGAAAAATCATTAAACTCACTAAATAACACCTTCTAGCATATTAAAAAAAAGGTTCCAAAAAGAAAACTATATATAGAAAAGGCAAAAAATAGAAAAATTATAATATAAAAAGAAATACAGAAGAATTTTAGATGAAAATTTTACTATGAAGAAAATTTTTGTTGAAAAATTAGAAATTCTAAAATACTCTGAATTGCAGATCAGTACACATAATACAAATACATACAAAATAGCTAAACAAACAAATATGTTACTAAATTACATATTACATATCAAGTAGCATGGACAAATTACACAAGACCAAAACTAGATAGTTTATAGGCAATCTGAATAAACTTCTAAGAAATTTCAAAAAAAGACAAAGTCACTTCTAGAAATAATAATTAGAGAATTAAATTAAGAAGAAGAGAATTTGAAAGTATATAGAACAGAGCAAAAGCAACAAGATTAGTTGAAGTAGTAACAAAAGAATATAGCAAAAAAATAATAACAGAAAGAAGTGAAGTAGTAATAGAGCTAGAAGATCATATAAATAAAATAATTGTAAAGATTTTAGAAGTAGAAAGCAACATAGTAATAGTAGCAAGAGAATAAAAAAAAATAATAGAAAGAGCAGTAATAACAGAAGAAATCAATAAAGTTGAAATAGTATTAGAACAAGAAACTCATAACACAACAATAAAAAGAGATAAAACTAATAGTGCAGAAGAGCGAGAATAAATTAGATATAGAAATGATAGACTAAACAAATTCCTTAAAGACAAGTAATAGTACAGAAGAAGAATAGGCCTTACCAGAAAAGCAACTTCTGAAGAATAGAAAAAGTAAAAAAAACTATAGCCTAATAGAAAATATTAAAGAAATTCAAGATAAAGAAATCACTACTTCAAATCCAAACTACTATTTAGATACTACAGAAAAATCTAAAGAGGATTTGTTATAAGCTAAGTCTGACTCTTCTCTTGAGAAAAGTATCTGAGCATCAAGTAAAGATAGATACAAAAGAAAAAAAATTATTAGAGCAAAGATAGCAGCTATTAAAATACTTAGAAATAATATAAATCATAGAGAAAAGTTATTAAAGTGATCAATTAGAAGAAATATATACCTCAGAGAAATATCAGAAAAATTTGAATGAAGTAATTTATGGTGTAATCTAATCTTTGACTGTAAGAAAGACTATGAGAAGGCTAAGAAAAAACTAGAAAACAAGAAAGAAGAGTATGAGCAAACTAAACTAATTCATAAAGATAATATAAGAGAAGACAATTTTACTCAATTCTTAGATAGCCAAGAGATAAAATTTGCTACCTCAAATATAAGGGAAAAAAGAAAAGAATAAGTAAAAGTAGAGTTAGAAGAAGTTCTAACAAGAAGAAAAAAGAAGACTATAAGTACTTCTGATCAATAAGAATATAAAAGTAAGGAAAATATTAAAATCTAACAAGATACTACTAATATAAACAAAAATAGAGAAGAAAACAAAATAACAGTTTAGGACTTATCAAACTGAGCAAAGAGATCCCAAGTTTTCAAGATAGTTTATTTCATAGAAAGAGTAGCATTTACTAATTTCCCCCTAAGTTTCTATTGGTTATATACAAATTACAGTTTTGATTAGACAAAATCGAAGATCCTTAATAATGTGACATTGCCGACTAATCAAATTGCACTTTTTTCATTATCAGATTTACTTATTAGGCCATGCAAAGTTAATTAATTAATTGTTTCTCATGCCATATGAATTTAAAAATGATCTGCCTGTTCAGCTTTTAATATTTTAATTATAAAAATTTTATATATTTATTACTATCCAGAAAATATTAAAAAACATATATAATTTTTTTTTAATTTTTTAAAAAAACACCCGAAAGTATTCATATCAAATAACAAAATTTTTCTCAAAAATTTACAAAAGCTGACCTGGCCGGGTTATGAGAAACAACCAATTAACTTTTATATAGCCTTATCGTTATTGCCCAATTTATTATTTACTTTTAAGTCTAGTTTGATATTAATTTTTCCTTATTTGAGTATCTTACGATTGATGTTGCATTAGTGTGAACTAAATAACGATATTTTGAATTATAATATTAAGATTCTAATAGGAATGTAGGAAAGAAATAAATAGCAAATTATTACACTATTATGTAAATACTAAAAATACGAATAATACTTATGTAAAAAATCTATACTTATAAATTATTGAATTTTTAAATTTATTTTATTAATATGAATTAAAATTTAAACAGTACAAAAGTTTAAATAAAAAATTAAATATAATTTTCTTAATAGTATCTAATAAATAATTACGATTCAGCATCTAGCTATACATATTCATAAAGAAAACCTTAACTAGTCGCTATTTATGCGTATATAGATTCAAAATATAGTAGATTAAATATTTTTATGTATGCTTATTTCAATCTCCTGAATCCATAATCAGTAATTTGATTTTTAAAATAAACAACTGCAAAACTATGCATTTCATACTTCTGCAGTTGTATGCATCGATATGGCACAGTTTTTGTAAATTTGGCGAATAATGCGAATAATGAAAATATAACAACGAAGGCTTAATTGACTTAGTGGAGAAAATAAACTAATAATTAAAATTTCATCTATATGCAAAGTTGGAAATAATAAGTTAATAGAAGTAATAGACTAGAATAGGTCACAGTTAAACAATATATTAAAGAGTAGGTTTTTCATCCAAGCTGTAAAATAAATTTTAGATTTGTTCTAATTTATTTAATAAAATTTTCGTTAATCATGTTTTTTTTTTAAACTAATTTAATAAATAAAATATAAAATGATACTTCTCTTTGTCCAAATCACCTCTATAAATTTTTTATTGATCATTGTATGGTAGCGAAACTATTCTAACTTACATATTCATAATCTATTGTACTAACTTTCTTGATATAATATCTTCTCATTCTCTATTCAAGAAAATTAACCTAAGATTTGTAAATCTCTTGTTGATTTGTTATTTTTACCTTTTTTTTTTTTTTTCTTTTTTTTTTTAATCACGTACCTTGTTACTATGACGTTACCACTAAGTATCAACGTGATTTTTGATATTGAAGAAGAAGATATAGATATCAGCGACAGCAATGATAATGAACTTGATAACGTGCTTGACAGAATTTTTGACACAACAGATGGTGTTGGTCAGATATGAGAAACAAAGAATGATAATAATACGCCAGAAGATGGGTCACCAGAAACAGAAAGATCCAAAACTTATCATCTCCCAGTTGAAGAATATACAGAATGGATCAAAAGCCTTGAGAAGGCGGGACTTAGTTATAATAAACATGACCGCTGGGCACAAATTAGCTCAAGAAAAAAAAATTAATGGTCAAAAAGATGGTATTGCTATTGATATGGCACATATGAAAGTACTGCTGAGAAGAATATCATTAAAAAACCACGATTAGTATAAAAAGAATCAAAAAAATGTAGTTGCAAGAGTTATATCCATGTCACACTTCCTGTAGATTCAACAATAGTAGTTTTACGCTATTATTATAAACATATCAATCACTATTCGAGTCAAATATCAGATTTATGTATCCTTCTTCTTTCAGAAAACATTAGACAGTTCATTCGCCAGCGTGCACTTGAAGGGATCAATGCTTTTAGTATTCAACAGCTCTTGTGTTTTCGAGCAGTTGAGCTCTAGGACCAGGTTCAGTTATTAGAAACAAAGCAACAAAATACACCTCTACAGAATATTCAAGAGTTGCGGAATGGATTAGTAATGAAAGAAGACATATATGTAATAGTGTATGATGCAATGAAAACATGCACTTATCTTAATGCAGATGAAATAAAGTCTCTAGATAAATGGAAGGATAAAATAGTTAGCATAAGTGGGAGTTGTTTATTCGAATACGGCAATTTAGAGTACTGTTCAGATGAAACTAATATGGGGTTCCTATTTGTCTTCCAAACAAAAAAGCAAAAAGAATTAATACAATATTCACGAGTAATATATTTGGATAGCATACATGGAATGAATAAGTATAGTTATCACCTTTTTACATTTATTATACGATATATTATGGCTAGAAGCGGATATCCCATTGCATTTCTAATTAGTAAATATAAAAAATCATTAACATTAAAAAAATGGTTTGATTTTTTAAAACTCGAAAATAATGAATAGAACCCAGATATTTTTATGATTGATGACGCAGATGAAGAAATAAAGGTAGTCAAAGAAAGTTTTCTAGATAGCACTGTGTTGTTATACCATTTTCACGTATTAAGGTCCTAGCGCAGAAAGTTAAATTACAATTCTAGTACAAATATTGACCAATATAAAGCTGCTATTTGGAGAGATCTTTGGTATTTAATGAAGTTAGAAGGATGGGGTGATGCAGAAGCAAGAAAACAAGTTATCGAAACTATTGACAGGTGGCGAAAATTTAATGTAGAAACTGTTAACACCCTTGCTAATTATTTCGAGCGTTGGTAGAAACTAAAATATGACAAATGGATGGTATGTTTAAGAGGAATTTCCTGAGATATGATTGATTCAAATAATTTGATTGAAGCATTTCACTGTAAGCTAAAATATGTTTATATAAGAGGGCGACCAGGGTAGCGACTTGATAGAGAAATATATTTACTTATAGAGATTGTTCTTCGGGACTTAGAGTTCTCAACTTTTATAGATGAATTGAAAGTTGGAAGAATGAATCCACGAAGATGTCAGCAACGAATTCGAGAAATTGCAGGAACAACACAAATTAATCTAAATGATATTTATAGTGTCAGATCTGACATTTGGGTTGTACATTCTATAACAAATGATGATGTGGAATACTCTGTCCAAAGAAAAGACTCTATGGTCAAAAACAATGATAATTTAGACATATCCTCATATATTTGCAATTGCCGTAATTTCAAAACACGGCAATTGCCATGTAAACATATTTTTGCTATACTTAGTAGGCTTCATACTAATGTTGATAGTATAGAAAAAAGTAGTCACGATTACAGTTACTTTGTACAGCAATCTGATAATCTCATTATAGAGAAACATCCTAATTCTTTTACCTCAATCGAACCTTTAGGCGATAAAAATTTAGAACTTACAAAATTACAGGAAGAGCTCGCGTCAATCGCTGAAGAATGGAAAGAAAAAAGAAGCCACGATATCTGCAATTTATGACTAACACTTAGACAAGCTATTCAAATAGAAAGAATGAGAGTTGCAAGAGTTAACGCTATAGATGCAGTAGTTAGTAACAACGTGCTAGAAAATTCTAATATAGCACTAAATAAAGATATCAAAAAACAGAATAGATATTAAATATGTTATACAATAAATATATTAATAAATAAATATAATAAATTACTTACTAATATCGAGCATATTATTCCTTGTTTAATTTTTTTTTCACGAAAAAATAAGCCTAATAATTAAAACATGTAAAATATAATAAAATAAAGGTGACTTAAGTTTAAAAAATAAATAAAAGTAATAAATTAATAATTAAAAATAGGAAAAAAACAATAGAAATAAAAAAAAATACTGTACAGAACTAACTACGGTGCAAAGTATTATATTAAAAATTTCACGATAGAATGTAAAATATCCAGGGATATATTATATATAAAAAAGTTTCTCATATGATATGAAAAAATCGCTTAATGTAGTACTCAGTCATTATACAAATTTTTTTGTCTGTAGATTGTATTGTATTGGAGTACCATGGTCAGCGCTGTACAGTAATAATAAATAAATAAATTTAAAAATAAAAATCCCTCTACTGACAATAACTGAGAGGAGATTGATCGGAGCACCTGGCCTACGAATATCTCTAAGGAACTTTAATAAAATATATACAATACATATTTAATTTATTCTCAAATAGAAAATGTTAATAAAAATCATACTACCCAAAGAAAGAGATACAATCGATCAGTAAAATTAATCCTAACCTTTAACAGAGACCACATTTCATTATCAGATGCATTCTATAAGCTATAAACTTTACTTCAAATAGCTAAGTCCATTTTACATCGGTAACAACTTTTCTAATTATAAACGTGTACTTTTATGTTTTAAAAAGATTAATTAATTGTTTATATAAATCTTATTGAAATAATTATATTGTATAATGCACCTTAATATGAATAATTTGAATTCGGCAGTAATTAATTTTAGCAGACATCTTGGAGCAAAAATTACTAAGAGGGGATAGTTTAGATACGCTTGTATATTCCTAATGACGCATACAAATTACGTGATAATAAAATAAGTACCGTAATTATTGATGAGAATTGAATATTCAAAAAATAAATAAATACATCTTCTTGCCTTCGTTGCATCCAAAAACAATTTTATCTCGATATTAAAAGCCATATTCGTAAAATTAGTGATATTTTCACATGTAACAAACATTTAATACCTATGGCAAATCTATATGAGATGGTTATGGCTGAATTATTAGGCCCTAACAATAACAATTCAATTAGTAGTATTGCTGCCTCTCATAATCCATTACAAGATTATCAAATCCAAATTGCGGTTACTTATCAATGTCTTCTCCAATTCAAAAGAACAGGAAATCAAAAGGCGTTATTATGGTACGCCTATTATTTGAGAAGCATTTTGGAAAATATGCCACCAGAACAAAGGACTTCCTGTACAAAGCAACTTACCCAATATTATATCACTGTAGCTGTCTGAATTTATTATATTTTTCATAAGTGGGGAACTGACAAAATCGACCAAACTACAGAATTAATATTGCTAATGATCTACGAATTGAAAGTAAAAGATTATCAAAGGATTGTAAATTAAAAAGGCTGATAATTATAGTTTTTTAAAAAAAAATTAGTAAAATTTTTTTTAACAGGATAGCAGAAATAAAAATTCAAAATGTTCACATATTTACTCTTAATAAAAATTAATAAAATACTCATATTTTCTAAATAAATGAACAAATATAACAATAATATTTACTCTCTCTTGTAATATAAAATATCGCACAAGATTAGGTTGCTTTAACTGTAATCGGTAAGGCGGTTATTATTGGAAACCAAAAGAAATATTCTTTTTATCTTAGGCTAGCCAAATTATAAAATTTAAGATATAATTTGACTAGTTATTTCTTTATTAACAGTAGTTTCCAGAATACAAACAACTCTTTAAACTGAAATTGGGCAGTATAACAAATAATGCTATTAGAATCTAAATTTAATTAAACAAACTCTGCCTAAATTTTCTAAATCGTATCTATTAAAGCTCCTGAGTTTTATATAAAGTTGGTTATACTTGTTGCTTTAAGCATCTATGAGGTTGAACAAGTTTTATGAATAAATTTTTAGATTTTTTCAATTTCAATTTCAACTGCTATTAAATAATTTTTGGTTTAGATGCAAGTTTGAAAAATAATAAGATACGATGCTAAAATAAAATCACAACTAAGAAAACTTAGAATTTTTTTTATTCTCAAAGCGCAAATATAATTGGCATAGATGATCAGTTATCACATTGTTAAGGATCTTTGATTTTGTCCAATCAAAAATGTGATTTGTGTATAACCAATAGAAATTTGAGAGGGAAATTAGTAAATGCAAAAGAGTAGAACATATAGAGATAATCAAAAGTATATATAATAAAACAAGAGCAGAGATTGAGTTTAAAACTAGCATTTTTTGATGAAAAGAAAAAGAATAAAATCTGGTGTTTGCTGTTTGCAAACCAAATATTAGCAAAGTAATAGCAAGTACTAACAACTTTGAATTACTTCATACAAAAAACCAATTCAGCAAAAAACTACTAGACCTACTAAAAAAATACGAATGAAGTTCTACTCTGAAGACAAGTTAAAAACTCTGATGCTAAAATACTTCATATTTTTCAAAATACTAATAACAACAATATGAATAATACAACAGTATACTTTAAAAATCAAGAAGATATGATAAATATCTCTAATTTTTTGATGTATTACTACAACAATAAGCTAAAATAGGTAAGCACAAGAAACCAAGATATAGAGATTTTTAAAAACCAAAGAGTTAAAGACTATAGAAAATATGAAGTATCTACAAAAAGAAGTAAAAGAAACCTAAGAAAAAGAAGAGAGTTTGAACAAGAACAAGAAAGTAAATGCTCAAAATTTACTCAAGAAAGAGTGCTAAAAGGAAAAAGTTACTAGCAAGAAGCTCTGATTAGCTTAGCTTTAAATAAGCATAAAGAAAACTAAAATATCTATAGAAAAGTTCAGACTTCATTAAGTGATAATAAGGTAAAAAGGTTTAAAATAGAAAGAAAAAATAGTTTCTAAAAGAAAATAAGAAGCAATGAAAGAGGTCTGGTGATCTTAATGTAGTAGTTAGGTCAGAGATAGTAAATGACTTGAAATGATCTAAATAACTCAAATAACAAATAACTAGTTATTAGTCATTTCAAAATACAAATAACCTAAGAAGGTTATCTAACTTCTGTTAATTGATAATCTAATGCTATTTAGCCAATAAAAATTAATTATTAATTTTTATAAAATATGACTGATAATAATGACTACATATAAAAGTTAAAAATTTATTAAGCTAATCAATGATTTCATCTTAGATAAAGTTGTTTAGGAGAACAATTGCATATAATCTATAAAATTTTAATTTTATATGTAGCTACTATTATCAATAGTGAAATAATATCATTTGATAATTTTTTATATTAGATATCTGACTAATAAATACTTCATATATAAATGATCTAAATGACCTAATGACTCAAATAATCTGGTCATTATTTGATGACTAGAGATTATTTAAATTTTGATTAAATGACTAGGTTATTTATTATTCCTGAGTTAGGTTGCTAGACTATCATACAAGAGATTTGAAGTTCAAATCTCACTGTTGATAAATTTGAATAATTACTCAGACCTTTGTATTTAACTTATAATAAAACTTTGTCTATTTCTGGAAGTTACAACTCTGTAAATTATATTGTACCAATGTCAATTAGATATTAGAAATATGAGCAATGTTTGAGTTATATTACACAAATAAATCTTAATAAGATCTATTAGCAAAAGACCAGCATAGTAGAAATTCTAAGTTTAGTGAAGTAGTATAGATTTTAATAGTTAAGCTAGTTAATATCTGATCTAGTAAAAAATCTAAGTATGAAGAATATGAGATTAATTGGTACAAGTAAGTCTGCTGTGTAATGCAACCTGGTACTTTGCATTAGCAGCAAGACTAACTTGGTTTGGTAGCTAACTAGATTAGAAAAATTTATTTTATAAAACATCTAGCTAGAACTTAGAGTACTATATCTAGTGGAGGGCTATAGCAGAAACTAAGTTTGTATAAATATTAACAAGGGTCTAATTCAAGTGAATCTGTAAAATAGACACATAACTAACTAGTAGGAATCACTTCTAAGATTAACTGAAGCTCTGCATACTCACAATATGTTGGTTAATATATATTCTAGGAGAATTTAAGTCATGTAGTAAATAGATTTACAGATAAGTTAGCTAGTTTAAGTAGTGGATATAGTAGTGATGTTAGTTTAAAATAGAAAAAAGAGTTAATGATCAGAGTATTTAAATAGATAATTTAAGGTAAGTTGCAGTTATAGTAGTATAGTGTAGAACTAACAGATGGTCGATTATCTATATAGTAAACTACTTAAATTAGATAATAAATAAAGTTGTATGTATAGTTTGTTGTATACTCATCATATAACTGTAAAACCTTAGAAAATTACTACTACAGTAACTTCGTAATTACAAATTAATAAAATCTAATTAGCCAAAAAAGTAGCCTTAACAAATTAAAAAAAAAGTAATGAAAGAAAAAGTTAAATAGGCAAAGCTATTATAGGAATCATAACAGATCTTTAAAAAAGATAGCTCAATTAGTGCAAAATTTAGAAAAGAAAATTAGAGATTTGGAAGTAAAATATTCAAATTGTTTTTAATTTTTATACTAGTTGAATTAAAGAGAGCCTTGCTTATATAAAAAGGAAAACTTGTATAGTAGAATAAGGCAATACAAGAGACAAACTATATAGAAATAAGCTTTAAAATAAACAAAAAAAATATAAGTGTAATAGATCTACAGGCAAGTTAGCTAGCTTAAGCGATTAGATATAGTGATGACATTAGTTTAGAATGAGAAGAAAGATTAATAATTAGAGTATTTAAATAAGTAACTTACAGGTAGGTTGCAGGTATAGTAGTATTATATAGAACTAACTGATAGTCAATTGTTTATATAGTGGACTACTTAAATTAGACAATAACTAAAGTTATACATGTAGCTTGTAGTACACTTATCATATAACTGTAAAACTCTAGGAGATTACTACTATAGTATCTCTATAATAATAAATGAATAAAATCTAATTGGCAAAGGAAACTATCTTAATAATAAAAATAAAAAAAATATAAATATACAAAAGGTCAGAAAAAGTATCAAATTAGCAGCTCATAATATAAATAGATTAAAAGGTAATAAACATAAGCTAAAAATACTAATAGACAAATTCAAGAAAAAAAATTATAATATAATAGGTATTATAGAAACAAATATCTCAGAAAAAAAAGGCTATTTTATAACTAGTCATCAAGAAAATGTAGATAGCTTTGGTCTAATATAGAAAAAGATAAAAGCAAAGATTTAGGAGTAGGCATAATACTAAGTAAGAAATAGTTAAACCATATAGAGCAGATTAGAAAATATAGTAGTTACTTGCTAGAGTTGCATTTTTTCTTTAAGCAATTAGAACTAGTTGTTTTATAATTTATATAGTACCAAATAGTTAACTAAAAAAAAAAGAAGTGCAGAGAATAATAATGAAAGAAATAGCTTAAAAAAGACTAAACATATACTTTATTATAATGGGTAACTTTAACTATATTACATAGCTAAGTATTAATAGAAGTAGTAGAACAAATAGCAACTATAAAAGACTACTATTATATAGCTGAATTGCAAAACAAAACTTCATCAATACATTCAAAGAATTAAATTTAAGTAAAAGAGAATTCTTATAGAGTAATAGAAAGGATAGTATAAGAATCAATCAGATTTGAATTTCAGAAGGTTTAATCTTCAGTCTTAAAGAAACTCTAATTGAGGAAATGATTTTAGAAACAGGCAGTGACTATAGACTAGTAGTAGCAAAATTACTACTAGATTATCTAAACTTAAGATAATCTAGCAAAGATTAAAAGAAAAAAGATCAAAAGAACAATTTTCTTATATGATAAAGCAATAAAAGAAAATTGAAATGACTACAGAAACAAGCTACAGTACCTACTAAAGAAGAAACTAAATAAAAAGTTGTAGGTAGAAAAGCAGCTCAAAGAAATCACTGAAGAATCTATAGATAGTATAGATTTGAACAAAAAATGAGACATTATAAGTAATAGTATTAAACAAGTAGCAGAAGACAAAATCTCTTATAAAAAGGTACTAAACTCAGACTACAACAAAGTTTCAAAAAAGATTTACTCAGAATTGCAAAATACAATAAATACAATAAGAAAACTAGTAAAAAAGTACAAAAAAAAAATAGAAACAAGCAGAACAGAAGATGAGCAACTAGAAATTGAGTAAAAGATAGAAGAGATAAATAAGAAAACAGAGTCAAGTATAATAATACTAAGAACTCTTT